ATGGGGACAGAGAGGGAGTCTGAAGGCGCTGGCCAGGATACGTGAATTTCACTAAAATTAATATTAGTATAGGTAATGGTGTGATTTGTAGTAATATTTGGCATAAATACCACAAGTGATATTTCAACACTGTTATAGGTAATTTCACGAGCTGTTAGGCGAGTGAAATTTGAGACAATTTTGAAATATCACAAGTGGTATTTATGCCAAAATATATCACATACAAATCATGCTATTATTTGTTTGTATACTACGACCCGCAAAGGAGTTGTAATTTTCACATGTAGGTATTTCAAACTAAGCTGAAATACCACTGCCCTAAGCCAATCAAATTTCAGAAATTTCTCATGTAGTAGTATAAGAGGTTGTAATATTAAACAAAAGTCTAATTCCTGAGACTTCTGTACATTTTTTATGCATTGTTTGAAACATCATCAAGTCTACGTGCAGCTACCTCAAAGCAAATAATGCAGAATATTGTAATAGTGAATGTTGAATTCTTTCTTGACAAAACTGAATAAAAGGTTGTGGGCCTCTTCGGAAAGCAACTTCTAATTAATTTCAAGCGTTTAAAATTTTTTATGGTCTAAAAATAACTGTGGTGAAATTCATGTATTCCAAGGACTAGACTGGCTATTTGCCTTTGACTGACCCATTATTCTCTGTCAGGGGAAGCTAATCAGGACAATATGTTCACGGGCAAAACTATTGCAGTCAAAGTCTTCAAGAAGAATGAAAGTACATGGTTCGTTCAATCTTGAAATGGTCTTGAATTTTAGTGGTCGTCTTAGTAAGTCCTTGAATTCAGTTAAGGTCCTTGATTTCTTTATTAGGTCTTAAAAAGTCCTTGAAATTCACTACTTTGTCTATACCACACCATCTTCTGTGAAATTAGATTTTGCCAAGGAAATTTTGGCTCATCCCCTGTGCAAAAACCTGTAAAACTCACAGGTACTGTCAAAACATTTTTGGGCATGAACAAAATTCTATTTCTGTTTCTTTACATACCCAGTGACTGTTGACATTTTGTAAAGTGTTGTTGCTGAAAGTAGTATAAAATAATGTGATCAACCATGGCTGAAGAAGTAAAAATCGTGAATGGTTCCATTAAGTGTTTCAGCCAATAAGGTGTTCAAAGGGGGGGTTAAGATTGGCAATTTACTAAATAAATTTAAGTCCTTTAAAACTGTCGTTTGTCCTTGAAATTTGTTTGTCTGAAGTTGTACAAACCTTGAAGTAAACTCAGGCTCCAGCTCACACTGAAGCAGTTCCAGATATTAATTCCTCACTTGACTTCCTCTCACCTCACCCAACTCCAATTCTCTCTGTTCATGCAGACCATTTGTGATTGTCGGGAAAAGGTTTCAGTAAGAGTGCCCAGGGGCTCTTTACTTTTTCTCATGAACTTTGCAATGATTTTTGCCTTAAAAATTCCATCTTCATTAGCTGCCCCAGGTGTACAAGGATGGTGATGGTGTTCATGGTCAACACAACTAAAGTTGCATCAAGGGGTACAAAGTTTCATCGCCTTAATTAAAATTGTCTGACACACTCTGTCCCAAAAGACTGGATTCTCTTTGATTACTTCAAATAGCTGTAAAAGAGTCCTAAAGTGTGACATCATAAAAAATTACTTTTGTCAAATTATGAGATTTTTCGGGGATTTATGAAAGAACATAATCCAAAAGGCCTTCTTGCCAAAAATTAGCATNCACCCAACTCCAATTCTCTCTGTTCATGCAGACCATTTGTGATTGTCGGGAAAAGGTTTCAGTAAGAGTGCCCAGGGGCTCTTTACTTTTTCTCATGAACTTTGCAATGATTTTTGCCTTAAAAATTCCATCTTCATTAGCTGCCCCAGGTGTACAAGGATGGTGATGGTGTTCATGGTCAACACAACTAAAGTTGCATCAAGGGGTACAAAGTTTCATCGCCTTAATTAAAATTGTCTGACACACCCTGTCCCAAAAGACTGGATTCTCTTTGATTACTTCAAATAGCTGTAAAAGAGTCCTAAAGTGTGACATCATAAAAAATTACTTTTGTCAAATTATGAGATTTTTTTGGGTTTTATGAAAGAACATAATCCAAAAGGCCTAATTGCCAAAAATAAGCATTCCGGGGCAAATTGTCTTTTGTGATATTAGCCCAGTTATGCTCTGATGACTCCGTACAGGTCAATGAAGACATTTCATAATAATAATACTGGTCGTGTGGTGAGATGGGGCTACTTGGGTTAGTTTTGGCTGGGTATGTGCCGCTGGCCTCTCAGAGCCCCTACCCGGTTAGTCTATTGTGAGACCAATAATAGACCCCATCTTAGTCACTTTTGGGCAAATGTAACTTACTTTGCCACTTCCTGTTTATGCGTCTACCTTATGAAGCCTAATAGTTCAGTCATCCTAAAATAAATTCACACATCATTATTTTTTCAAATTCCCAACAACAAAAATTTTCTTAACCTCAAAATCCCTCGAAATGAAAATGTAACCTGATAAATTATTATAGTCAATCCATAAAAAATGCAACCCCATCCAGTGGCTCATCCCCATTAGCCTATTAACAGGACGTATCCTCCCGGGAATACAGGATTATCAGTTTGTGCTGTGTAAAATCTCAAAAAACAGCATATCATTAATTCTACTCTACAAATCAAATATGACACAAAAATACAAAATGTTTTGCTCTTGAAGAGCAGAGCTTTATTTCCACAAAGAAGAATATTCTTTTTCTCGTTTGTTTGAACACGTAACACTTGATCTAAGACCCTTGCATCCACATGACAAAAATATCTAGACTTTTACAANATTAATTCTACTCTACAAATCAAATATGACACAAAAATACAAAATGTTTTGCTCTTGAAGAGCAGAGCTTTATTTCCACAAAGAAGAATATTCTTTTTCTCGTTTGTTTGAACACGTAACACTTGATCTAAGACCCTTGCATCCACATGACAAAAATATCTAGACTTTTACAATAAGTTCCCCACCCCAATTCCCACAATTTTCATGTAACCACCTCAACACTCTAAAAATCAGTGGCATGATAGTTTTCTTCATATATCGATCTTTATCTTCAGTCCAAAGACTTCTCAGGATTGTCGCATGGGCGAACATAACAAGCTCGCCTGTGCTACAGTCTTAAGGGTGTGCGAGCAGTCTAGAGGTTTCAGGTCAAATAAGATTGTAGATAGGAATCTCTTTACAAACCGAGGCATTAAACACGTATGAATCAGAATAAAATTAATATCATTTAAGTGAAAAAAGAAATAAAAATCAATATTAAATAAATCAATAAAAATCAAACGGAATAAATAACTACTACCCTAGTAAATACATACTTCCATAATAATTTTTCAAGATGTTCAAATTGTTTAAAAAGTGTAGACTGATGAGATTATAATTTGAATGGTACTTTCATATATTATAATATTATCAAAAACTACTGAATTAATATGATTAAAATCTCAGAAGGGGATCTGTTATCCCCTATTCCCTACTTTAATGGGCAACTATTTTAGTGTCAGTTTAACAAATATATAACAGTACAACTTGAAACAGACCAAAATACTACCGTAGCTGTAAAATAAAAACATTTTTCGAATGATGTGAAAAGTATGAAAATTAATTTATATTATGCAGGTTAAGCTTGTTTAACAATCTGCTTACTTTATTGTAAAGTAAATATTTTACTTCAATTTAAAAATATTCTACATTCGTGGTATTTTGATACATGGAGGTTTAAACATATTACTGTTTGTCATCTCTGTAACTAACTTGCCACAAGTGAAGAGACGTTTACGGTGCAAATAAATCAAACTACTAAAACATTTCACGGGTAATTGTAAATTAGCTGGCAGTCAGTGACATAAGAACTTCCAGGCAGGCCTTGTAACAGAATATGTACTGGTCCTATAACAAAATTATAAAGAACAAAGAATAAACAACTGTTTGGTACTAAATTAGTGCTAAAAAACAAAACAAGAATACATTGCCTTCTAGTTCTTCAACCTTGGCACGTTATCATTAATTTTTGTAAAACAAAGGGTAGCTGGCTGTTGTCAACATGATCTTAATTCACTTACTTTTGTTTGAATCATGCCTTGCCTCTGTTCACGAAGTTTTCTCACAATCTTGTTGACATCAAACTGTCAAAAGTGAAAAAGAAAAACCGCGTGCATTGATGGTTGTCACCCAACTAAATTATTACAATGTACTGAACTGTTGACTGTTGATTAAACATAAATGAGCCACACTCCCTAGCGTTAAGTGCAGCTTTTTTCATTTTCTATTAATGTGCCACACAAAAAGATGTGATGTTTCAACAATGGCCTGCTGTGTGACGTAACAGGGTTTGCACAGTCTTGCAAGTCCTTGAATTTTAGGGGAAGTCCTTGAATTTTCTTCAACTTCAAATGTAGTAGCCTGTAAGGTGCTTTTTAAAGCGTCTTGGTTGTCCAACACAGAACATATAGGTGATTTACATAAAGCGATTTTTGTTTTATGCAATAATTAACTACAGTCGAACTTTCGCTAACGGCCACCTCTCTACAACAGCCAGTTTTTTCCGTCCCAATGGGCAAAAAAATCCCTACATGTACTCTTGTTTAGAACCTCTACAACAGCCACTTTCTTCTGTCCCCAAGGTGGTTGTTGTAGAGAGGTTCAATTGTATCGACTAAGACAAGAGTACTGAAAAATACAGAAAATTTGGTGGAGCAAACAGTTCAAGCCTTAAAGTCCTGGTAGAATGGACTGGGAATGTGCATTTTTGTACAATCTGTGAAATTACATTCCTGGAAGGTGGTCCTTGAAAATCAAATGTGGTCCTTGAAAAGTCCTTAAAAAATGGTTGCGACTTTTTGTATGTACAGCATAACGCCAGCTGCAGTCATCAACTGAAAATGCCATGTGCTTTTATTGCTTATTTTTGTTGCAAAATAAGTTGTAATGCATACCGGTAAATCTCTTTCCATGAGACCTATTGCCACATCTATGGTGATAAGAGCACCTGTTCTACCAATTCCAGCACTGAAAGATCAATAAAACATTTGAACAGTTACTAAAATCAATACAAATTAAACCAGGTACAATCAAAAATTACTTCCAGGGGTCTGAAGATTTCAGTTACCTGCAGTGAACAACAACTGGGCCAGGACCCTCAGCAAGAAGGCGCAAGAATCGAACAAATTCTACCAACTCCACGGCTGACTATAAACAAACGAAATTTGGAATGATATCAGACAAAATTAATGCACTCTGTTGTTAAATGTTAACAAAGTGTGGTACTAGTGAGGCAATATCTACATTAAGGATCAGTACTGTATCAATCGGAGTATCCACACTCCTAAAATGCATATTAGCGAAGCACCGTGGGTAAAATAATTTGATTATCTATGCATCCAAGAAACTTTTTGGTTCTGAAAAATCGTCTGTAGTTTCACTCCTCCATGTTAGCGGATGTGAAATGGCACAGTTACTGGCTAGGAGTCCAAGGCATATACTATCTGTGTTTAACCTGGTATTGGACATCCATGTTATGGTCAATTGACAGCGGTCAACAAAGGGTATCCACAGACCAGTGTCCCATGACTGCATCGCAGGCTCAGGTATACAACTCATTGAGGCCACGTATTTTTTAAAGTTATCCGCTGACCAGTTTTGGGTTTTCAATTGATTGCGGGCTCAGGTCTATTTTTTAAAGTGGAATTCACTTTACTTTCTGTTTACGGCAAAAGTTGAATTACTCGAGAAAGACATTTCTTAAAAGATCACTTGAGTGGTGGGTCTAAAATACAGGTCACTTTTGCACAGGTCAGACTACAGGTGACCATGATACAGATAAATGAACAGCATTAAAAGTGTCACCTACCCTAACCTCTTAACAAAATGCTCAATTAGATCAAGGGGAATCTGTGTGGTTTGGTAATTTATCGAAGGAGCAGTGACTTGTACTCTTGACCTGTAGAATGTGACCTGTACTTTAGACCCGGCAGATCAACCAGGGTTCTCAATAGAAGGCGGCACCCGGCGACTGATCGCCGCTTACTTTGGGATTTATAGCCGCTTACTTTGTGTTTAGGTCGCTTTTCTTTGCTTTGTTTTGACACCTCTGGCTTTGGTGAAGAGCCTCCTACTTTATCAGTGATCACCTCCTACTTAAAAATCTATTGAGAACCCTGATCAACATGGGCCTACAGGCTAAAACACAGGCATATTTTTCAGACAATCACAAGTTCAGTATTGTGTATTTAAGTGCGCAGTTGCAACCTCTACTAGGGTAGGTAAAGGCAAAAAGAATGAGGTTATGAAGAGGGAAGGGGGGCTCTGGTGAGAACTGTACAAAGTTTATTCATGAATTCATGAAAAAAGATCAAAATTACAACACCAGCAACCTGCAGTGGAAAGAGTTACTGGTGGTGGCTTGCTAAAGAATTTGTGTGCCATCCAGAAAAGGCCTGCGTAACAGGATTTGATAGGATGGATAGATAGATAGATTTTTAATGAGAATTTTAACTTGAAATCCACAGATAATATACGCGTTGCCCTCAACCAAAACTAAGCATTAAAAAATGAAACAAAAATTAAGTAATGAATAAATACACAAAATCAAGAAAGTCCTACTTACAAACAATAGTTACAAATATTATGGTCATGAAAGGTACGTTTTAAGTTTCGGTGAAAATGTACTGATCGAGAGAGGGATTGGGGAGAGAGGGTAAGGGAGGGTAAGTTCCCTTCCCTTTTCTTTTCACGCTTTTCTCCCTCTTTCTCTCCCTTTCACCTTTATGGACCGTCTGCCATGCAGGCTACCCAGAAAATGCCTACAGTGCACCGTCAATTAGGATCCATGGATAAGTGGAGTCTCAAACATACTTATCTTAGTATGGCTGAAAACCTGAGAGTACAAGCATAAAAACACTTCACTAAGTATTAGCTAGCATACCTTTGGAACTCCATGATCTGGCCATGTAATAAAGTTTATGTGAGAAACAGTCCTGGTTTTACCAGTCTACAAATTAAAAGAGAGAAAATGAAATTAGACCATTTCTGCCTAACATTCATCACTCTCAAACACCACACAGGCACCCCACTAGCTCATTTCCTCAACACAAAACCTTCAAAAATCTGGAAGTCTAAGCAAAGCACTCCTCCAAAAGAATTACACAAATATATGAAATAGCACTACCTTAATAAATTTAAAGTGCTTGAGGGGCACTCAATCAGACAAACATAAAACTCACAAACTAAATGAGAAGTACCAGGAAATATTTTTAAAAGCTTCAAAAGTATGAATATATAATAATAATAAAAAACAGGACCTAAGTTATAAACATGCACAAATTTTGCATACCTGAGAGTCATGGAGCTCAAGTTCTCTCTCTATAAATGAACCAAAATCTTCCTGTCTTAGAAGGCTCACTGCTATTCTGCAGAAACAAAGACAACGGAAATTAAACGTGCTGACTAAAAATATGTGATACTAGAGTGACAGTAAGAAACAGTGAACATCAACTGAAACTGCTAGTTTATTTAGCTTGAACAGCTCAACATTAATTACCAGTGACCAGCATCTTATTCAAAGAATACCAATCTTTATCAAGCATTATGCTCTCAAGAATATTACTCTGCTAGAATAACAATACTACTCTGTCATGTAAAAAGGTGAAAAAAAAAAAAAAAAGATATCAAACAAAAAAAACCGAGAATAACAAAAAAGAAAAAGGAACAAAAATATAAATATTCCTAAAAAAACCCTTCTTAAGGATTAAAGGTATAGAAAAAAAAGAAAAGAAAAAATAAAAAAAAGAAAATTAATTTGAAAAGAAATATATATTGAAAAACTCAAATATAAGTCACAGTGAACCACAGCATATTCAAAAAATACCAAACTTTAACAAGCATTAAGCTCTAAAAAATAATACTCGGCAAAAAAAAAAATACTACTCTTTCATATAAAAAGTGGAAAAAAAAAAAAAAAAAGATATCAGACAAATAAAACCGTGTATACCCTAACAGTAAGAGTGACCAAAATATGACTAGTCCTTAAATAACCCTTCTTTAGGGTTTAAGGTCTTGAGAGTAAAGGAAAGGATCTCTAACAAAAAAGGGTCTGATTGTTCAACAATTCAAATTCTCCACATAGGTACACAACAGCAAAAAAGATGGAAAATAGTGCAGAGAATAAATTATAAATGCTGACATTAGGGTTTAAGGAGTTAATGATCTGATTTCCAAGAACCTTATATGCTGCTGGTGACAGCATAATTGATATGTTAATTAGTAGCAGTTGCAGAAACAGCATACACTAACCTTTCTGTATATACTACAGGTTGATCCTCAGTGTTTGGCCAGTACCTATGACATTTCACCTGTGGGAAAATGACAACATTGCAGCAATCGCTAAAACTAGCAAATAAAGTACATAAAACTAGTACTGATATTTAAATAACTACTGAAATTTTCATATCAGTGGATTCCAGCTTTGGTGTAAATACACATCATGATATCATCTTGAAATATTTATATTTTACTAAAACACGAGTCTATTTATGATTTTTTTAAAAGTAAAATTTTGGCATGAAATTCAGTTTCACTTTTTGAAAGACCTCCTTTATGTGATTAGAAAACAAAATCAGGTGTCGAGACTCCCATGGAAAAGGGTCTGTAAATGGATAGGGCCACTAACGGGATGTCCATAAAAGCAGCCACTGGCAATGTGACTTTATCAAGGAGAATTCAAGTAGAGCTGTCTACAAGCTGAATCTCTTACTTTACGAGCCACAAATGTAACAACCCACCAAAAAATGGCCAGCTCCGCAGGCTAAAAGAAAGTCAGTTTTACATCTTGTCCCTACGGGCAAGCCTGGCTTATACTAGCCCAAGAATCATTGCACCTTTAGTTTTTTTAAATTACTTGTTTTATATATTCATTGCAGTAATACTTGAAATAATTTCACTTTATCAGAATGATCAGCTTGAAAAACAGCTTTCAATCCCCGTGAAATTGGAAGGAATTTAAGCAATTTGTCTTTCAGTACTTCTGTAATTTGAATTCCCCTAAAAATATCACTTAGCCTTGCCTGTTGGGCAAGTTAAGACCAGAATTCACTGGCCCGATGAATCAAAAAAACCCCTAACCCCAGGATATAGGACAGGACTTTCTTTGCACGTTGAATAGAATAATTAACGTTATTGCCTGATGGTGGAACTAGAGTGACGTTGGTTACACTAACGTGGACTCTGCTCTATAGTCACCCCCTTACTATGAGCACCCTTATGATATTATAAGGACAGTTTTGTTTGTCCCGAAGAAAAGCTCATATACTTTCTCTAAAATTAACCAACTCAATACGGACACAGGCAATTTCAAACTCTCATATCATCGTCAACCATGCTTTATACACACCAGTTCCCTGCTCAATGTCTATTTTCATTGTCACAATCATGAGCTTATTGTAGCATATCCCCTTGGTATCTGTATTGACAGAGTTCCACTATGCTCCAAAAGAGGCTTTTTCTCCAAAGAATCTTAATAATTTTCACAAAACACTCTACTGAATAAATATCTTCAAATTAAAGTGTTTTCTGTGATATACTCCATCTGACTATGCAAACATGCTCATATATACCTTTCCTCCTTCTTGCTGTAGTGTTACCATGGCAATAACGACAACTTCTTGTTCCCAGATCATCTGCCAAAAATCTTGTATTGTGTTTGGAAGAGGGCCCTGGAACACCAATATAAGAACAACAAATTTTAAGCCCAAACCATCCATTATGGCAAATCCTTGCTGTAAAAACTTGTAAAACGTATGGGTGATGTAAAGCAAAGAACACAAAGAAGTTACACCAAAGAACTTAAGAAACCAAAAGGTGTAAGACAAGGAAAAAGTACATGGGTTGTTACACTGAGGTAAACCCTCCTTTAACCATTTCCCATTATACGGTGTATCTTAAATAATTTTCCAGATTCGGGGCTATCTATTTTTGAAATTTACTAGGTCACAATTGGATAAAAAAAGGAGTTTCTTTACAGTTTTGAGTGATTCTTTAAAGAATTAGAATCGATCAATTTACTTCACACAAGGAAAGTAGAAAAAAAGTCACCATTTACAGTCATTGACCCTACAGCCATAAAAGAAAATATTCCAGTCAAGAAAATATACCTGAGTTGCAATGTAGTGATAAACATCATCTCCAACAGGAATCTGGAATAAGCAACAAAAGAAGTACATATAAAAGTTTAATAGGTAAAAAAAATCCTTTTCTGAAAGTCAAACTTGAATCTATCAGTACTGGTTGAGTATTTTTCTGAGTGATGCTGAATCTCATGGCTTATGTATCATGTTAAGTTTTGGATACTGCCTACTCAATACCTCAGCTATTTGTTTAGGTGATTGCAACATTCGTCACTAAAAGGACTCAAGTATACCACTGGTACCTTCACATGACTGGCATTTATGTAATCACCATCACCATCTCCAGATAATTGGACCCTGGTCTTCTCAACTGAAACGTAAATTCAATTTATCTCCTTTAGAGTCAGGCATGTCACCGAAACGAAATTAATAAGAGTTTGAAATATTTTGATAATAGAAAACTGATCTCTTGAAGGTCATACTATATTTTTTACTAGATAAGATAATCATTTATTTATGCTCATCGCCGTACAGATGTGAAGAGTTGATGGATTACCCATTTAATAGTAGCTAGTTTCCCTGCTGATTAATTCTGAAGTAGAGAGATTGAGTAACATTAATACAATATTGTTATTAGCAAAGCCTTTTCAGTCAGGTTACTTGGTCATCGATAGTGAGTAGCAAAGGGAAACTAAAAGTGCCCCAAACCACAACCCCCACATTCAATCCACATGCATTGAATTTGCATGGCTGCTTGTAGCATCAACATAACACCTGCTTCATGAACTCAAATGAGCTATTACTGTTTATAAGCAGTTAAGTACAACATACATGGCAGCACATTTCTGTATCTGTTTTTATCCTTGTTTGCTGGTTTTTTCCCTGAGTCACATCCATCTGTTTGTTTTATTTCTCTCAAGGCCTACAAGAAAAAAGTTAACACAAAGTTGGGAAAGAACTCAGAGAATTTTATGACAATTCCCCTGGGTTTCCACCCTCCTATAGCTGAATAACATGAACAAAGAATCTTTCTGTCTCTTGTTTTAGTTTAAAACATGAAAATATAATTACAGTGGAACCTCGATTTAATGAAGGGCCAAGGGACTGGCAAAAATACTTAATTTGTTCGCTACAACAAGGTTTTTTTTCATATATTTTACTGTTACTGGGGTAAAGAAAATCGTTCCTTACATACCAAAGACTTCTTTAGAGGTTTGTCATGTCGAGGTTCCACTGTAATAAGATAGTGTACAGCAAATTGCTACAACATTACTCAAAATTTAAGAAGGACTTTGTTTTGGTTGTTGAACAGGTGCGAGACATCGCTGCTACTGAGCTACTGACAATTTTATTGATGAAAAAAGCAATTTATGTTCTAACAGAAGGTCTTTAAAAGTAATACAAACCCTAAACTCTTCAGCAGGGATGTTAGATAGTATTTTTTCCTTGACACTTCTGATGAGCTCAGCAAGGTTATCTCCTGAATACTGACCACCTTCAAGTACATCAATCAAAGGTTCTGAGGGAGCTGTCAATTCATCACCACTATATAAAAAAAAGTAGAAAATAAAGATCATAGTGTTGATCAAAGTTCTTTGGACTCTTTGACGTCCACACTTTTTTCATTGGATGGAAATTTTTAACTTAAAGCTAGCAGATGTAAAATATTTATTTTTCTCTGCCTTAACTTTACTAGCAAAGTCAATTATAGGAAAATCAGAGAAACCTATAACCACAACACTGGGTGTCATATCATGCAGTGCAATTTGATTACATTGATAGGCCATCAGGTACATTATAGCAAGGCAATCTGTACATTCAAGAAAGCACATCTGTAAAATCCAGTTGCCTGTAGCACCTGAGCAAACTACTTACTATGAATATTAACTTTGGCCACCGAACCTTTTTACACCTAGTAGTGTTGATGAAAGCTGAAAAAAGGATTACTGTCTACACCACTGTATATCCTGGGGGTACTCCATTATAATATCATGGCCTATATGGGGATGTGCTACTGGACAGGGTATGATTTTTAAACAGGGAATTTTGTGCAAGTCTGTTCTAATTGTAAACAGGGTACTGCCTGCACGATTGAGTTTATTTGTTTGATGAAATTTGTTGTGCTACACATATACAAAAGCAAAGACTATAACGTTAATTTTCTGAACTGCAATTGCCAATAAATGACTTAAAAACAAGATGGCATTCATTATGTCATTTGTTCTAGAAGGATAATAACATTGAGGGTGGTGTCCTAAACAGGGCCAGACTTTCAAAAGCTCAGTGACTCACCTCTTCCCAAATATTGATCTAGTGCCCCCCCCCCCCCACCACCCTGGGGGTGTATATGCAACAGTCCCTCGAGAATTTTACCTGCTGTGTCCATTAACAGATTCATTAACAACTGGTAAAGAGTAAGATTCTTCGGCGCTAGAATTTCCTGAAAACTTGGGAAGTGATTCCCTTCTTGGTGGAGGTTTTACTGGGGGCTCATCATCATCTGATGGAAGAGGTGTGGTAGGGATTGGCGGGGGTACATCAGGATGTGCATCTACTTCAAGAGTGTTGTGTGTTGAGGAACTGTCTTTGTGTCCTACATTATTGTTTACTTCCACTGTTGATTCAGGCTTATCATTGTTCAGCATACTTATCACAAGCTGACTGTTGTCCCTCAGCATGTCAAACACATCCTCATCATCCATGTCAATATCATCATCGTCACCATCATTGCTACTGTCATTAACATCATTATCAGTTGTAATGTCATTATCTGATGCAGAATCCAGCTGCCTTGTAATACTATGTTGAACAGCGAGCGAATTGAAAGTTTGCTGAGAATCATTCCTCTCGTTTTCAGCAATTGTGCTATTAGCTGATGAGCTAGTTTTCTTCTCCAAACTTTGTCGAGATTTACTTGAAACAAGATCTCGCGGAGCTTCATTGTCACTGTAACCACTCTCCCACTGAGAGTCGAACTCCCTGGGGTCCACAGACCGTAGGGACTCTGGGGGTGAGGGTGGGGGCTGCAGTGATTCAAGTAAAGAGGATAACACCATATCAGTGTCTCTTTTGTTTAGCTTGGGTTTGGATTTGATGTTATCTGTGGGAGGCACAGGGGTATTATTTGCTGCTGAAATAGCATTCAAAAGTTCAGTGACATCATCTTCATCTTGTATGTCTGTTGATCCGGTAAGTGTCTAAATGAAGTAGAGACACAACAACATTTAAAGGACGCCCAATAAGTCATCACTGAGGCCTTTTAAGAAGGAATTAAGAAAGCCCAAAACCTTGCAACGTTTTTAAAACACTATTCTAGAACAACTTAATGATGAAAACACTTGTAACCCTGGAAATCTGGGTATTTTACTAATCTTACAAGACAAAAGTGAAACAGAAAAGCAAGACGATATCCCAGCCACTCCTTTACCACCACCCATTCTTGGTCTAAAAACATAAAATTTTATGATTTATGTTAAGCTTCCTATTCTTCCAGATTCAAGCTCTGTGCCAAAAATATTTGAGTAAAGGTGTTACAAAACAATTTAAACTTTAAAATTAAAATGATTATTATTATAGAAACCTAAATGTCTTTACAAAAGCTTTACCAATTACTGAGTAATTACTGCTTGTAAGCTGTTTACCGACTTAACTAAATAACTTGTGAATTCTAATTTTATATCTTTAGTAAAGGCAGTTATAAAATGATCTTTATTGCCTGCTTGTTATCAGTTTTTTTAAAATTTGCACTGATGCAATTATTAAAATTAATATTAACAAGAGACAAATAATATTAGTTTTTATTATTGTATTATTAATTTTGATAAACACAATTTTTAATAGTAACTCAAATAAACAGGCTTTGATTTTCCTATCTATTTTACAAAGAAAATCAATGGTAAGGAACTTGACCTTAACAGTATGTCACAAAATTATCAGTCATAAACTTAAAGCTACTTCTAATAGTTTTATGATGTTATTGTTTCTGTCTGCTGTGAGTAACTATAGCTGCCCCTTTACAAAACAATAATGAAGTTCCCTTGTAAGCTCTGAAATAAATGGCGGCCATTGCAAGTCTATATAGATAACTTCAAGATTTAAATTTCCCACATTTGACACACGGGTGCTATAAAAAAAATTATGTTTGCAGTTATTACTCTCAAACTTGCCTAATCTGTTTGTTTTGTTTTTTGTTAAATGTACTACAACTGAGTACATAACAGCAACATATAACAGAGAGCAAAGTGTTTGACTGTACAATATAATTATATGGTCGTCAGTAAGTTAAAATAGCATCTCAATAATTAAGGGTCAAAACATGTCTGGCTTTACATGTTGTTTCACTTCTATATATCATTTAGCACAGAAGAAACTTACTGCAAAAAGAAGAGTAAGCATTTTAAATCCTCAGTTGAAATCTTGGTTTAAGTAAAGCAAGGCTCCACTCTAGCATGCATTAGAGATATGAATAAAAATGAAAGTTAGGCGTGAGCTTAAAGCTTTAAGGGAAGTAATTATCTCTTATTGCAGGAAGGGGTGCAGCATGTGAGAGGAACTGCTACAGGGTTTCTTTTTCATGACTATTTTAATCTCTGCAATGCGATAAAAGAATTGAAGAAGTTAAATATTAGCCTTTATTAGTGAAGCAACTTAACGTTTCAAAGTTTACAGACAAGCCAGTACTCTGAATCAACTTTATAAAATATTAATAACAAAAAATTTCATCACTCATTATGTGGATAATCTGTTATTTAATCTAATAGCATGATTAAGTCCACTGACTGAAATAATTATCAACCAGACCTTCTTTTGGTAAAACTGTTTGATCATGTCTACAGTATTGTAAGCTTTAAAAGAGAAAATTAAGTTATGCCAGATCATCATTGTTAGTTTTCACATTTTAATATTAGCTTTAATCACCGCTTTGTCAGCATTAAGTTTAATGGTTTATACTTCAAATACTAGTATTTTGGAAATAAGTGCCTTGCCCAAAATTAATTATTCTATTTTTATCGTTTCTTATACTATTAGAGAACCGGAATTTACTGCAAAATAAATTAAAGACTGTTTTTACTGGATCAAACAAAGTGGGCAACAAAATATAGTTAAACCTCTGCAGTAAACAGCTACGAGGCTATTATAGCCACACTTTTTATTGTCCTGAAGTGTAAGTTCACTACCATTGCAACCCTTAAATTCTACACCTCTAATCGTACATTTTATTGCTAAAACATGGAGATCACAGCTTTCCACAAATTAACTGCTATCAGTGGAATTCCTGGCTTGGCTGCCACTTATCCAAAGGCACATGACCCACTTATGAACAACTGGGGCTGATTTAATGGTTTGGAAGTACTAGAAAAAAAGTGCTGCTTTTTATACCTTATCCTTGTCCTCAAGTGTGATATCAAGGTCCACAGAGTTAGGTGATCGTTCAAGAGGGGCTCTTGTAGCGGGTACATTTGACTGTGTTGCAGATGAACCCAGAGGTGACAGAGGAGGGGTATTTACTGAGTCGGACATGTAGAGCTTAGAGGGCCTGAGAAGGAAATAAATCATAAAATTAAATAACTTTTAAGCATAAAATAGATAGTAAGGAATGCCATATATAATAATTATCATTAGTTACTGAGAGCCTCTACTCCACCNATCACCGCTTGTCAGCATTAAGTTTAATGGTTTATACTTCAAATACTAGTATTTTGGAAATAAGTGCCTTGCCCAAAATTAATTATTCTATTTTTATCGTTTCTTATACTATTAGAGAACCGGAATTTACTGCAAAATAAATTAAAGACTGTTTTTACTGGATCAAACAAAGTGGGCAACAAAATATAGTTAAACCTCTGCAGTAAACAGCTACGAGGCTATTATAGCCACACTTTTTATGGTCCTGAAGTGTAAGTTCACTACCATTGCAACCCTTAAATTCTACACCTCTAATCGTACATTTTATTGCTAAAACATGGAGATCACAGCTTTCCACAAATTAACTGCTATCAGTGGAATTCCTGGCTTGGCTGCCACTTATCCAAAGGCACATGACCCACTTATGAACAACTGGGGCTGATTTAATGGTTTGGAAGTACTAGAAAAAAAGTGCTGCTTTTTATACCTTATCCTTGTCCTCAAGTGTGATATCAAGGTCCACAGAGTTAGGTGATCGTTCAAGAGGGGCTCTTGTAGCGGGTACATTTGACTGTGTTGCAGATGAACCCAGAGGTGACAGAGGAGGGGTATTTACTGAGTCGGACATGTAGAGCTTAGAGGGCCTGAGAAGGAAATAAATCATAAAATTAAATAACTTTTAAGCATAAAATAGATAGTAAGAAATGCCATATATAATAATTATCATTAGTTACTGAGAGCCTCTACTCCACCGTTCCAGCAAACACAAGGCATTTATTGCTAGAGGGGTTGGGACCTCTACTGCTGGGGTGGGAAAGTGGGGTAGTATGATGCTCCCATGGCAAATAGAGCCTGGATGCTCAACTCTTTACAGCATTACAAAGAGCTGGGTCTTCAGTAAGGAGGGACCTCAACTCCTCATGTACTAACTTTAATCTATGAAGTAAATAATAATTAATTGCTATCATGAGGGTATTACTAACCGTAGTTACTATAGAACTACCTGTCTCGCAAGCCCTCCTGAAATTCAGTGTGGCACTTATCAAGTTTAATACTGCCAAGCAGGGTTAACATCATAATAAAAACCAACGAGACCTTTCTTTACAAAATGAGAAGTATTTGTCAAAATGAAGCTACTGAAAGATCTGATGACTGACATGAATGATGCCATTCAATTAATATTATTCGTATTTATACTTATTAAGTTTTTTTATTTCTTTTGAAAATATATAAATAGATATGGCAACAAAGTGATATTAATAGTACCTGTTAATTTCCAGCTCTACTGTCCCAGTGATCTTTCTTAACATTCCAATAACTTTTGCATGACTGAGGCCTTGAACATCTTCCTTATTCACCTGAAAATACACATTAATAAATTAAAACAATAATTGGAAGAAAATCATGAGGACAGTGCTGGCTCCTTCTCCTCCCATGTTGCCTCTGTGCTTCTGCATTGTCGTTGCGTTTTTTGAAAGGAACCCTCCAACGGTCTCATTCTCCTGTTTTTAAAAGGCCTTTTTTCTATTAATTTCATTGAATCTAACTCAACAACATTCAGAAAGTATTATGGAGGAGGGAAATATGCTCCCACAATCAACTGCCTCCAAAAAGGCCATCTTTAGGACTTGCAAAACTGAAGAATTGAAGGTATGCATCTCTATGCGTCCACGTTAGAGATGTGCTTTTCTTCCAGAGGTTTCTCTTAACATAGCAAAGTTTAATGTAGCGCTTAGTCATGACAGAAAAAAAATATGTAATAATAATGAAGAGAGTGTTGAATAAAAGCCTACTTTTAGGATCTGGTCTCCAACTTTCAACCTGCCATCACTTTCTGCCACACTTCCAGGACTAATTGTCTTGATGAAAATCCCATGAGACTAAAAAAATGTAAGTCAACTTAACAAAAAATCAACATCCCTAGAACACAGGAAAGCAATTAACTAAAATTGTGTTCTCACTGCTGGCATTATTTTCAATTTCTCTTTTGACCTCCACAAAATATAAACCCTCAAATAGTACTAAATTCTTAAGCTTACAATTTAGACTAAAGACTGCTGATACTAAAGGAAATTGGTCATAGCTTTGGGGAACTGGACAAGACAAGTCAACTTGGCAAGGAATCAGCTTAATCAAGTGTGAGAGGGCTATACTGTGTTGCAGATGAACCCAGAGGTGACAGAGGAGGGGTATTTACTGAGTCGGACATGTAGAGCTTAGAGGGCCTGAGAAGGAAATAAATCATAAAATTAAATAACTTTTAAGCATAAAATAGATAGTAAGGAATGCCATATATAATAATTATCATTAGTTACTGAGAGCCTCTACTCCACCATTCCAGCATTTATTGCTAGAGGGGTTTGGACCTCTACTGCTGGGGTGGGAAAGTGGGGTAGTATGATGCTCCCATAGCAAATAGAGCCTGGATGCTCAACTCTTTACAGCATTACAAAGAGCTGGGCCTTCAGTAAGGAGGGACCTCAACTCCTCATGTACTAACTTTAATCTATGAAGTAAATAAAAATTAAGCTATCATGAGGGTATTACTAACCGTAGTTACTATAGAACTACATGTCTCGCAAACCCTCCTGAAATTCAGTGTGGCTCCGATCAAGTTTAATACTCCCAAGCAGGGTTAACATCATAATAAAAACCAACGAGACCTTTCTTTACCAAATGAGGAGTATTTGTCAAAATGAAGCTACTGAAAGATCTGATGACTGACATGAATGATGCCACTCAATTAATATTATTCGTATTTATACTTATTAAGTTTCTTTCTTTTGAAAATATATAAATAGATATGGCAACAAATTGATATTAATAGTACCTGTTAATTTCCAGCTCTACTGTCCCAGTGATCTTTCTTAACATTCCAATAACTTTTGCATGACTGAGGCCTTGAACATCTTCCTTATTCACCTGAAAATACAAATTAATGAATTAAAACAATAATTGGAAGAAAATCATGAGGACAGTTCCGGCTCCTTCTCCTGTCATGTTTCCTCTGTGCTTCTGCATTGTCTTTGCGTTTTTTGAAAGGAACTCTCCAACGGTCTCATTCTCCTGTTTTTAAATGGCCTTTTTTCTATTAATTTCATTGAATCTAACTCAACAACATTCAGAAAGTATTATGGAGGAGGGAAAGATGCTCCCACAATCAACTGCCTCCGAAAAGGAAATCTTTAGGACTTGCAAAACTGAAGAATTGAAGGCATGCATCTCTACGCGTCCATGTTAGAGATGTGCTTTTCTTCCGGAGGTTTCTCTTAACATAGCAAAGTTTAATGTAGCCCTTAGTCATCACAGAAACAAATATATAATAATAATGAAGAGAGTGTTGAATAAAAGCCTACTTTTAGGATCTGGTCCCCAACTTTCAACCTGCCATCACTTTCTGCCACACTTCCAGGGCTAATTGTTTTGATGAAAATCCCATGAGCCTGAAAAAATGTAAGTCAACTTAACAAAAAATCAACATCCCTAGAACACAGGAAAGCAATTAACTAAAATTGTGTTCTTACTGTTGGCATTATTTTCAATTTCTCTTTTGACCTCCACAAAATATAAACCCTCAAATAGTACTAAATTCTTAAGCTTAGAATTTAGACTAAAGACTGCTGATACTAAAGGAAATTGGTCATAGCTTTAAAGAACTGGACAAGACAAGTCAACTTGGCAAGGAATCAGCTTAATCAAGTGTGAGAGGGCTATACTAGACACAGCCTCCCTGATCATGGTTATATATTTTTGGCCTGAAAAGTAGAGAT